ATTCTCAAACCAGAAAAAAAGGAGCTTTTAGTGTTACAAATAAAAAAAGTATCCAAATAATAAAATTTAATAATAAAAAATAATATGCAAATCGTAAAAAAAGTAGTAAATAGTAGGTTTTAGTAGATGAGTGCGAATATCGTGTTATTTTTGAGGTTAACTTTCTTAAAAAAAAAACAAATACAAAATAGAATTTTTACTATGTCAATATTTGAACACAACTTTTTTTTCGATCATTTATTGAATATTCTGTCAGAAAATTTTTCTTTCCAAAGAAATTGACTTTAAAATTTGATAGAGTCGATCACTATTTTTTTTTTTTTTTTTTTTGCTGTAACTTTCAACTCTCGTTGATATCCGTCTCTAGTTTTAAAGCTTTTGACATGACTTTGTGTATATATATGTATGTGTGTGTGTGTGTATGTAGTTCCGGCGATAGCGAGCACAGAGATATATCCGGAACTTATTGTGTAAAGTCAGTCAATTGAAAGTTGATCGCAGTCTGTGGTATAGGCTAGTTTTATTTTAAAGACGACCATAAATACACAACATCTCTCTTTTCAAATTGTATATATATGTCCTTGGCGAAATGCTCAGAGTGCGCGCTTACATTGAATCACAAGTATAAGAGAGCGAGAGAAGATGAAGCAAAAGAAGATTGCGAATAGTTGGCCAAAGGCGGAAGTAGAAATATTGGATCTGCCGAATAAACTCACGAAGCTTTACTTTCAATAGATGTTTGAGTGTATCTTGAACTTGGAGTTTATTCTGCAAGATCGACACTGACCATGGATATATATATTCTACACACACGATTTATATCGCGAATTTAATATTTTTTTATTCTTTTTTCCTTTTTTTTCTATTTTAATTTCTACTAGCAACAATTCGCTGATTTCTCGCTCACTTTTTTAAATAAAATTAGCAATTTTAAAAATTATTACTAATAGAAGGTACAAATTTTGAATTCAAATTTTTTTTTGTAAAAATAAAATATGAATTGAAATATATGGTTTTAATATTATTATAATTATAATAATTATATATTCTGACATAGGGAATTCAGGGAATAGTCAGGAATTTTTATTAAAAGTACTGAAACAAAATAAATTTTTAGAATTAATAAGAAAATTTTGATTTGTTGTGTGTTTTTTGTTTGACTCATAAACTATATAATTACCACGAATTCTAATACAAAACCGATTTTTTTAATTTCTGACAAAAATTTATTTTTAAAAACCTAAAATGTTGAACAACTATCATAAAAGAAATAAATTATTTAATGAATAATTTTACTTAAATATTTCAAAAATCAAAATTAATTCAATTTTAAAAGAGTTGCGTTTACAATTTTCATAAATAAATGCACTTCAAACGGTTTCAATTTTAAATTTTATAAAAATTCAATGTTTGAATGAATTTAATTAGAAATTTGAATGAACTTAGATTTTTGAAAAATTTTAATAATTCAAATTATTCTGAAATTAGTTAAATTTGTCAATATATATTTAATTACCTAATTATTAAAAATAATGGATTTATAGACGAATTTTAGTTAAAAACACTAAAAAAAAATTGTATTTTGAAGAAGTTACAAATTATTGCAGAAATTTAATTATTTTCAAAAGTAATAAAATTCTTATCACATAATTCAATTATGTTCAAAATTTATAAAAAAAAATCTCGACAAAATCCCAATTATTATCTTTATAAATAAAAATATTCTTCTGGAAAATTCAATTATTTTCAAAAAATTTAATTAAATTCTTGCCAAAATTTCAATTATTTTCAAAAATTTTAATAAAATTCTTGTCAAAATTTCAATTATTTTCCAAAAGTTTAATAAAATTTTTGTCAAAATTTTAATTATTTTCCAAAATTTAAAAAAAATTATTGTCAAAATTTCAATTATTTTCAAAAATTTTCCTCATTTCAATGATTTTCAATAGATATCTACTAATTTAATAAAAAATTTTCGAAAGAATTCAAGTATTTAAAAAAAGATGTTTGATAAAATTCTATGCAAACATTAAATTATTTCCATAAATAATAAAAATATCACAGGATTTCAACTATTTACAATATTTTTATAAATTTCTTCGCAATAATTTAATTATTTTCATAAATAATTAAATTTTTACAGGGATTCAATTATTTTCAAGAATAAAAAAAATTCTTTTTGGAAATTCAATTATTTTAAAAATTAATAAAACTCATCGCAGAATATCAATTATTTTTAATACAATTTTAATGGAATTCCTCGAAAAAGGTAATTATTCTTAAAAAATGAATTAAAATTTGTTGAAAAAATTCAATTATTTAAAAATTTGATAATAAAATTCTTTATGGGAATTTTATTTTGCGAAGTATTCAATTATTCAATATATATATTTTTTATTTAAATAATTGAATTCTCGTAAAATTTTCTAATAAAAATTCATTTAAAAATGAATTTCAGTTAAATTTTTAGATTATAATTGAATATTAAAACCATTATAACGTGAATTTTTAGAAATAATTGAATTTTGAAAAAATTTCAAATTAAAATCTTTGAAAATTTGAATTTTTTAAGCTTTTAACTAACAATAATAAATTTCTTCGCAAATAATTCAATTATTTTCATAAATAATAAAACTCATCGCAAAATTTCAATTATTTTTTATCAAATTTTAATCAAATTCCTTGGAAAATACAACTATTCTAAAAAATTTTATTAAAATTCGTCAAAAGAATTTAATTATTTAAAAATTTGTTAATAAAATTCTTTACAAGAATTAAATTTTAAGAAACATTGAATTATTCAATAAATAATTTACTTTTGTATTTAAATAATTGAATTATCGTAGAATTTTCTAATAAAAATTGATTTGGAAATGAATTTTAGTTTAAAACACTAAAAAATTGAATTTGGAAGAAGTAACAAATGATTGCGGAAATTCAATTATTTTCTACTATTTTAATAAAATTATCCAAAAGAATTCAATTATTTTTAATACAATTTTAATCGAATTTCTTGAAAAATATTACTATTTTAAAAATATTTATTAAAATTCGTGAAAAGAATTCAATTATTTTTAAAAACTTGTTAATAAAACTCTTTACAAGAATTAAATTTCAAGAAACATTCAATTATTTAATAAATAATTTACTTTTGTATTTAAATAATTGAATTATTTTATTAAAATTCGTCAAAAGAATATTCAATTATTTAAAAATTTAATAAAATTATCCAAAAGAATTAAATTATTTTAAAAAAAATTTGAATAAAATTGTACGCAAACATTTAATTATATTCATAAATAATAAAAATTTCACAGGAATTCACAGGAATCAAATAAATTTAATTATTTAAAAATTTTTTAATAAAATTCTTTACAAGAATTAAATTTTAAGAAACATTTAATTATTCAATAAATAATTTACTTTTGTATTTAAATAATTGAATTATCGTAGAATTTTCTAGTTAATTTAATTTTTTTTCTTTTTCTTTCGAATTTTGGACGATTTTTTAAAAAAATATTTGAATCACTTTAATATACATCACGAAGAAAGTATTAAGAACCACGTTTAGAATTTCGTTGATAAATTACAATTTTGTGAGACGTTTACTTAAGAATGAATAGAATAAGTTTATTCCCTTAAAAATCACGACACTTTTTCATCGGGATTTCGTCCGTCAGAATTGAATATTACACATTTATGATATCAGTTGACCTCAAAATCTTGGAAAGAAAATACTTTTTCTTTGCTTGTATTTCAGTATTCATGAAGAGTACACAGTGTTTTTTTTCTCTTCTCTTTACTGGTATTTTTTTTTTTTTTTTTTCAAGTGTTTATTTTATATAATCTGATCCAGTGATATCTCTGGTTTTAATAGAAGAGTAAATTAACGCAGGCAGCATATAGTAAAAAAATACTGTAGTACGGAATAGTAAGTAAAAATTTACGCCCTATGGCACGCGATGTCCCGAACTTAATACGTGATGTCCATTCCAATGGATCGTTCTCTATTGGTCCCATGCGATAAAATGTCGCCATTCATAACCACGAAACACCTGCGCTCGTGGGACCAATTTTGCAACATAGGGTCCTCTAACTACATTCATTTTTTTTTTTTGAAAAAGTAAATGAAAAAACAATAAAAAACCGCTTGAGAGTATTTTTACATTCGTTTTCTGCACATTTTTGAATTTGGTGATTTATATAATAGACTGGAAAAAAAATTTATTTGATTCAAGTAAAACTGATTACTTGACTATTATCAATTAAATATTTATTTGAATCAAATAAATTTTATTCGAGTCAATGAATCAAATTTTTATTTAAGTGAATTAAATGCGAGATTAAATGGTATTTGCTTCAAATACTAAAATTTTTTGTTCAAATACCATTTAATTGACTCAAATAAAAATTATTTGATTCAAGTAAATATTTAATTCTCAATAATCAAGTAAGAGATTATTTGAATTAAATCAATTTTTTTCAATGTAGTATAATAAAAAAAAATTAAAAATAATAACAATTAATAAAATTAATAATAAAGATAATAACAAAAGTAAGAGTAATAAAAATACAAAAAATAATAATTTAATTAAATAGTTGAAAATAGAAGTAAAATTGATAGAAATGAAATAATTTTAAAAGTCCTGTTAGTAATGAAATAAAAATAAAATTAATAATAAATTAATAATAAAAATACAAAAAAAATAATCATTTAATTAAATAGTTGAAAATAGAGGTAAAATTGATAGTAATTAAATAAATTAGAATTTCCTTTTAGTAATGAAATAAAAATAAAATTAATATAATAAATTAATAATATAAATAATAATAAAAATAATAATAATAAAAATACAAAAAATAATAATTAAATTTAATAGTTGAAAATAGAAGTAAAAAATTGATAGTAATTAAATAATTTTTAAGTCCCGTTAGTAATGAATAATAAAAAGGGGATAAAAAAATAAAAAGGGGATTATTTAATAAAAATGGAAACTCACCTTCGTAAACCCAGTCAGGTACGCCATTATATACAGTATGAAGAACTCCGGAATTTGTTATTTTATAAATATCTGGCACTTCAGCGGCCGGACGGTAATAAATATTATTTTGATAAACGTAGACCAAAGAATTTCCTTTCGGCCCCCATGTTGCCAATTGCAAGAATACAGATTCGTTGTCCGGAAAGCCAAAGTCTTCCCTGTAATTAAAAAAAATATATATTTTAACATTTTTTTAATTCTGGAATATATTTTTATCTTATTTATTTAATTTTTCTTTATTTTATTATAACAATTTCTGCTTTATTTTAATTTTTTATTCATGAATCCACTAAAGAGAGATAATTTATTTTAATAATTAAATTAAAATTAAAATCTTATAAAGAATTTTATCAACAAATTTCTAAATAATTAAATCCTTTTGATGAATTTTAATAAAATTTTCAAGAATAATTACATTTTTCCTGGAATTCGATTATAAAATTGTATTAAAAATAATTGTGATTCTGCGATGAGTTTTATTATTTATGAAAATATTTGAATTATTGCAAAGAAATTTATTATTGTTAGTTGAAAGTATAAAAAATTGAAATTTTCAGAGATTTTAATTTGAAATCTTATAAAAAATCAATTATTTCTAAAAATTCACGCTATAATGCTTTTAATATTAAATTATAATTACAATTCATTTTTAAATCAATTTTTATTAGAAAATTCCACGAGAATTCAATTATTTAAATACAAAAGTAAATTATATATTGAATAATTGAATGTTTCTTAAAATTTAATTCTTATAAAGAATTTTATTACTAAATTTTTATATAATTGAATTCTTTAGATGAATTTTAATAAAGTTTTAAAGAATTTTTAATTGAATTGAAATTTTTAATTTTCAATTGTATTAAAAATAATTGAAATTTTACGATGAGCTTTATTATTTATAATAATATTGGATTTCGAAAAAGAATTTTATTATACTTGAGAATAATTTAATCGAGGAAAATTTTTGAAAATAATTGAAATTTTTACAATAATTTGATTAAAATTCTTGAAAATAATTGAATTACAGAGAAATTATTTTATTATTTGTGAAAACAATTGAACTCTTGCAACTAACTTTGATACACATTTTTAAAATAATTTAATTCTTGGGGAAATTGTATTATCAATGAAAATAATTAAATTCTTTTGACGAATTTTAATAAAATTTTTAAGAATACATTTTTCGAAGAATTCGATTAAAATTGTATTAAAAATAATTAAAATTTTGCGTGAGTTTTATTATTTATGAAAATAATTGAGTTATTATGGAGAAATTTATAGATGAAATTTGTAAGTAATTGAATTCATGTGAAATTTTTATTATTTTATGAAAATAATTAAAGGTTTGCGTAAAATGTTATTAAAATTTTTTTTTTTAAATAATTGAATTCTTTTGGAAAATTTTATTAAAATCGTAGATATTAAAAATCATTGAAGTGAGGAAAATTTTTGAAAATAATTGAAATTTTGCCAAGAATTTTATTAAAATTTTTAAAAATAATTGAATTTCAAAGAAATTAGTTTATTATTTGTGAAAATAATTGAATTCTTGCAATTATTTATTCATAAATAATTGAATTATTGTGAAGAAATTTATAAAAAATATTGAAAATAAGTGAATTGTTGTGAAATTTTTATTTTTTATGAAAATAACTGAATGTTTTATTAAAATGTTATTAAAATTTGTTTTAAATAATTGAATTCTTTTTTTGCAAATTTTATTAAAATAGTAGATATTCAAAATCATTGAAGTGAGGAAAATTTTGGAAAATAATTGAAATTTTGACAAGAATTTTATTAAATTTTTTAAAAATAATTGAATTTCAGAGAAATTATTTTATAATTTGTGAAAATAATTGAACTCTTGTAATTATTTATAAATAAATAATTGAATTATTAGTGAAGAAGTTTATAAAAAATATTAAAAATCATTAAAAATAAGGAAAATTTTAGAAAATAATTGCAATAATATTTTGCCAAGAATTTCATTACAATTTTTGAAATTAATTAAATTTTGAAGAAGATTTTTGAATATAATTGAATTTTGTGCGAAGAATTTTATTACTTTTGAAAATAATTGAATTACTGTAAATATTTGTAACTTCTCCAAAAATCAATTTTTTAGTCTTTTCAACTAAAATTCTTCTATAGTAACTCTTAAGTCTAGGTTAAAGGTTTTTAATTTTTTTTTAGGTTCAACCTATATTATTATTTTTTTTTTTTTGTTAAAAAAGTTAAAAAAAATAAATAATAAAATACAAAAAAATATTTTTTATTTATTTCTTTTTCTTTTCCAGTTCCTATTATTTAATATTAAATTATTATTTATTAATTATTAATATATTATTAGTAAAAGTGATAAGCATTAGAAATAAAAAAAAAATTAATAAAAATAAATTTATTTAGAGAAAGTAAATCAATTTTGCCTCGCACGTAAATTAAGATTTGTTTTCTTAAAGGTTTTTAGAGTGTAATAAAAAGGAAGATAAAATTAAAAGAACACACTTTAATTATCCTGATGAATGAGGGGAAGGAAAATATTTTCTCTTTACGAGTTATTGCACTAGTATTGTGTCTACATGTATATATATTGTATGTATATGTGGAAAACAGTACGTAATCCTCATATGTTTTCCAGCGCTATAGTGGAGTCCTACCATAAACCTGACCTAGTATAGTTTGAGTATATACGCTGTATGAATACCTGCTGCTTTATTTATGTCTTTTTTTTTTTTTTTTTTTTTTTTGGGAGAGGGGTTAAAGTTTCCTTTGAGACAGGTACGAACGAACGACGGTAGAAATATAAACGTGCTTGAATATGAAACTTGATATCGATTTTTCTTGACATTTTGTATATGAAAATTGTCCACTTTGTCCACGTCTATATGTATATGCGCTTTTGTTGGGGAATTTTTCTTTCCCTCCACTTTTTTTTTTTTTTTTGTCATATAGTCCCTCTTGACCACACTGTGTGAGACCATTATGTGCATTTTCACTCAACACACAGAGACATTGTATACGCATTCATATATTTCATGGTTACGATATATAACCATTTCTCTTTTGATGCGCTTTCTATACCGCAAAATATACACATTAAATTAAATTTGGTTTACGCGACCGAAAAAAAAAATTTGTACATAAACATAATTTACTTCAGAAATAGTGGGAAAAAAATTTTTCTTGATTCAAAGAAAGAACTATTTGTCTATTATTATTAATTAATTAATTAACTATATTAATTTGAATGTTAACTTTCATTCATTCATTCACTTTTTCTGTCCTTCACACTCTGAAGTTGTCTTTTGTTTATACTTTTGTTTTTTATTATCTTTAAATAGATTGTGTATTATATTATTACTAGCAAATGTTACGCGCGAAAAGTGATATTCAATTTATTATTGTTATGCAAATTACAAAATTTTTTATTTTGAAATATAAATTTTTTAAATAATTTCATAATCAAAATTTAAAAAATATACTTATTAAGTACAAAATTAATTATTACTGTTCATATTTTCAAAAATTTTAATAAAATTTCACGAAAGAATTCAATTATTTTCTAAAATTTTAATAAATCCTTCTAAACAATTCAATTATTTTTTTAAATTCTAAAATCTTTACAAAAATTCAATGATTATAAAAACAATTTGAATTGAAATCCTCGAAAAAATTTCATTATTTTCAAATATTTCTATATAAAATTCTTCATAACAATATTTAATTCTTAAAATTTTAATAAGTTCTTCGAAACAATTCAACTATTTTTATAAATAAAAAAATTCTTTGCAGGAATTAAATTATTTTTAATTAAATTTAAATAAAATCACATGAAAAAATTTAAATATTTTCAAAAAATTTCCATAAAATTCAATTTCAGCAAGAATTTAAAATTCTCTAAAAATAATTGAATTATTCTCGAAATATTTTTAAAAAATTCTTTATAAAAATTAAATTACTTTCAATGCAATTTTTAAATACATTCGTCAAAAAAAAATTGAAAGAATTCAATTATTTTCAAAAAAAATAATAATAAAATTCTTTGAAGGAATTCTATTATCATTAAATTTTTTGATAAAATTCTTTGCAACAATTCGATGATTTTCAATATATTAATTTTTAAAATTGAAAATATTTGAAAAGAAAAATTATAAAAAAGTTCAGAAACAAAAAGTAAACAATACTTAACTCCAAACTGCGAACAGATTACCGGAATATGTACTTTATTATTATTAAATAATTAATTAATGTTATAATTTTTTTTTAATTAATTCAAAATTGTAATGACAAATAGAAATGATCAGAATTTTTTTCACTTCTTTTCATTAAAAGACTAAAATTTTGTTAAAAATATTATGTTTTGTCAAATTGAAATTATGCAGATTTTTGTTCTTTACTTCTAATGAAAATTAGAAAATTGTTAAATAATTGTGATTAAGAAATAGAAAATTTATTTATTTTGCATTATTTTTCTTAATGAATCACAATTTCTTTTAACAAATTTATTATTTTGTTTTAGAAAAAGAAGAAAAATATTTGCAAAATTCCTATTTTTAATCTTATGTTTGGAACAGGTTTTTGCACAAAAATTAAGACATTCAAAAATTTTTAAATTCAAACCTTTTTTAAATTAAACAACTTATAAAAGTATTTCTTCATGTTTTCTAATAATTAAAGATGACCGAGAGATAAAATCATTATTTTATATTATAAGAATATTGTTACTGTAACTTCATCAAAATTATTTTCATCATTTTAATTCAATTATTATTTTCTAGAATTTTAAATTCTTTTTTATGAAAATAATAATTGAATTCCTTAAAAAAATTTGATAAATTTATGAAAATAATAGAATTCGTGTAAAATTTTTATTATTTATGAAAATAATTAAATGTTTGTATACAATTTTATTAAAATAGTAGATATTGAAAATCATTGAAATTAGAAAAATGCATTTTATTTTTGAAAATAATTGAAATTAGGACAAGAATTTTCTTGACATTTATGAAAATCATTGAACACTTTGGACAAGAATTTTGAATAAAAGAATTTCTTTTATAAAGATAATTGGGATTTTTACGAGAATTTTTTTTTTTTTAATTCTGAACATAGTTGAATTTTATTGTTTTTTTTTAAATAATTGAATTTCGGCAATTAT